GGTACAAGCCACCTAGGCGAGATACAAAATGACCTCAAAAATCTTTGAGAACCTCGAAGTATCTTGAATAATATAAATGGATTTGAAGCAAAACTTGGCATGTTTCACACCTAAAAGGTTTGGGAACAGTGTATCAGTAACACTGCGGTAAGTTATATGGTCTTCCGTCACAGAGAGGTCGTTTACATTCCAAAGGTTACGTTGATTAGGCCACGTTTCCCCTGTGTCAGATGGCTTGCTGCGCAATGTTCGCACCCATCGGATCTGTTAGAGACAACGGTAGAAAAGTAAGCAGTCTATGATCTTGCAAAAGACCAGCCAGTAAACCCAGTCAGCTCGGCAACTTTGACTTCTCTGGATGGGGGCCTTAGGACGCAATACATGAAGGGCTAATGAGACTGATAGACACTGCCCGGTCCCAGATTTACTGACGCAACGGCGTTGAAGACTATCGCCTGAAATGCGTAACTATTCAAAGCAACTCAGAACCAATGAATCTTCTCCAATCTGACAGTCCCGTTAGTGATTCCCCATCCTTCAATGAACGAAGCCGCTGCTGTAACAAAGTACACTTGGTACATGGGTAACGGTTGAATAAGATCGACGACAACAATCAGTATGGTAATGTGAGGCGAGATGGCTCAAGTGACTAGAGCGCAAATTCACTGACCGGAAGGTCTGTGGTTCGAACCCGACCTCTGTCTAGACTTAAGCAGCCTGGTGGTATGCCAGCCCTCGTGCTTCTTTTGGGTGGCACGTCAGCCAGGCACCGAAAGGGTACCACAGCTAAACGATATAGGGTAAGGTGGATAAGTTCTAACTGTGGATTGTTGTTAAACCTATCATTCAGGAGACTGTGATAAAAAAACTCTGAAGTCTGTGTTAAAATATCTACTACATACCTGCGCTTCGAAACTATTGCGATATGCCTAGCAACGCGCTGATAAAAGTCCGAAACTCATTTCGTGCCGGGAAATTTGGTGATCTATCGTCGCTCAGAGGCATCACGACTGAGGGAAAAATGCACGCCTGTGTTGAGGGAATCTCAATTCTCAGACTAACTATCTGTCCACATTGCACAGATGTCAGAAGGGAAATATTTGGAAACATTTTGATGGAGTTACTGTCTCCCAAGCATAGAAGTCGTCTGCAGACTAGGTCCATTAACAACAAGCTGTCCCACAGGAAATCACGAGAATGAATTTCACTTAAGTGATGTCGATGCAAAAAGTAGTCGAAAGCGATTAACCGCCTGAAAAACGATGATCCAAATCATGAAATACCGAGCTCCAGTGCATATAAAAATTGCAAACGGCAAAGGTTGAGAAGTGATCTTGAAACAACTTAGTTTATTCTAAATACGGACGATTGTACAGTGAGCAGAGAAGAAAATCAAGGAATCGAAATTGGCGCAAAAAAGTCACCTCACAGTGCAAATTTCAGAAAATTGAAAAAACAATAACTGGGAGAACAACAGGAAGAACAAGCAGTTGTTGGACATTTGTGAATGTTAGTAAAACAGCCAATCTGAGGAGTTGTCAATAGCATAACGTTTACAGCAGCTTGGTCATTGCGGGTACGGCCCTGAATAAGTCCTCGACCAATCCGAAATCAGCAACCTGGGCAAAAGAATAAAACCATCGAAATGACCGGGGCGGAAGAGAACTGGAAGGAAAGGTTCGCTACACAGGCCCAACGTCTTCTGTGGCAAGGGAAACAAGCTATATGCTTCATTGTAATGAAGCCATGTAATTAACTGGTAAGTGGGTGACAGGAAAATGAGGTACAATCTAGCTGGAAAGTAGTCAAAATAGTAACGAGAGTCTGTGCATAGTAGGCTAAAGCAAACAAAACAAATTTCCGATGAACCAGGGCATATGACCTTCCATCAGGGAACTATTAACAGTCGTGCTCCAAATCTTCGTAAAGCTGAGGAACTCATTCAAACAACCTACTAAGATCGTCCGTCATTCAGAATTACATACATTACACAGTAAGTCGGGGGAACAGTGACGGAATCTGGTTTCTGTCTGAGCTCCAGTAATCTCGTGGTAACATGTATGAAGCATGTGTGATTGTACTACCGTTTTCAACACCAACATAGCTGCACCTAAGCTATCTATCTAAGCTATCTATCACCCACAGTTGGCGAGGTGAAAGTCGTTACTCGGCTATGTATATGTAGTATGCTGAGCCCATACTGTAGAATATCCAAACCATAAATTTTTGCATTGATTGAAATAGTGAATGGCCTTTAATTGTCATGGTCAATTGTGCACGAAAGGACTGTCTTTAATTCACCGAAGGGCCAATTCCATCAAGAACTAACCACTCTCTTGTGCAGCACGGAGATCTCAGATATGGTCGCAGTAGCAAGGACCTGCAATGTGCAAGTAGGTGCCTCGGTGCACCAAAGAAATGCGCTGGTGAGAATATTTGGAAACAGGAGGTCGGTGTGTTTCGACATCCGAAATCATTAGAAACAAATTCAAGTCAAACAGCGCTAAGAGACCGGACATTGTTGTTCAGTAAATGAATGAATAATAAGGTGCAGTGACCCAGTGAGTCGTGCTGGACCATGCAGCAATAAGCCTCTCCTGCCAGGTTGGTCGATAGATAGAACACTAGCAAACACAGTCTCCTGGTCCTCGAGGTTCGGGGGTTAGATTAACTGTGGCAAACAGTTCCTTAAAACTGGAACTAATCCAGTAATCTTACGCCAACCACCAATGCCATGCAGTCAGACAATGGAATAGGAGACTGTCCTCCTCTCTAGGTATGGACAGGTAGTAATACCTCAGCCGTACAACTACAGATAACATACCATATTGGCCGTCGGGTGGTGGCATCCACCGCTATATATTGTAGGGCAGATAAACAGAAACGTGTGACTACCGATGCCACTGATTTTTTTCGTCACCACCTAACTGCCTTCCCGTCTCGCTTTATAATGTATCCTCTGTAGATCCCAGCTGTAGGTACGTCGGTCAGACATCTAGGGAATTGACAAATGCCAAGGCTCGTGTTAACCGCCCTGTGTCCTAAATACAGGCCTCGTTCTCCTGTTTTTTACTGCAATCTTTAACATGAGAGATTCTAGACGGGTAGGCTAACAAGCTTGCGCGCACCCGACTGTCGTCTGCCACATCTGTGAAACTCGACTACAAGATCCAGTTACGGTGGTTGAGTTTACAGTACTCTCTCTCTGTCCAGACGCTGTCGAACACGAACTTCAAGTGATACTTCGGTTGTCGCTGCAGGTTGTGCCGTTGTGCATAACCCACAGTTGGCGAGGTGAAAGTCGTTACTCGGCTTTTATATGTGGGTATGCTGAGCCCATACTGTAGAATATCCAAACCATAAATTTTTGCATTGATTGAAATAGTGAATGGCCTTTAATTGTCATGGTCAATTGTGCACGAAAGGACTGTCTTTAATTCACCGAAGGGCCAATTCCATCAAGAACTAACCACTCTCTTGTGCAGCACGGAGATCTCAGATATGGTCGCAGTAGCAAGGACCTGCAATGTGCAAGTAGGTGCCTCGGTGCACCAAAGAAATGCGCTGGTGGTATATTTGTAATGCACTACTCATAAGGCTGCCCACGACCGGTCTTGCCCTTCTTGAGGCACATCAGGTAGGCGCAGTCCCCGAGTTTCCGTCAACCTTATGTTTTACTTGAAACCTGATGGTATGTTTGGTCTGAACATGCCATGGTCACTAGCTACTTTTCAGCGGTAATGGATTTATATGCAGCGGTCGCCGCTGTGCTATCTGGCGCCCCACTACTGCTGGACAAGTCAAAGTGACCATTTGCATTCAGCTGTTGATAGCCAGGGACAGTCCTCGGCTATCAGTTGTTTTCGAAAACACAGGTAGACTCAAAGAACGCTCTCGTAGGATGAGGATTTCTATTTCCCTGGTCAAATAAAAAAAACGATCTCATTTGGCAATAGAAAAGCTTTGAAAGGTAGAGGTCATCGGAACATGACAAGGCTCATCATGTGCAGAATTCCAAACAGCCTGTTCGGAGGATGTCCAGCATCATTACCACCATCATCATCATCTTCTACTTCAGAATAATGGACTTCACTTTGTTGACCAGTTCACATATCTTGGTAGATGTTTGAGTGTGATCGTATCATAACAGATGAAGTGACCGCGGGCATAATCAGGGTGCCAGCAACAGGCACCAATCTGCGTCATTCGATGAAGCGGAAGAACCGCATGTACAAGTCAACTGTAAGAAGGGTCTCGCATTGTGGTTGCCAGACTCCGACGCTCCGATCCGGGGATTTTAGACCTCCTAGACATTTCATCCTATGTATGGGTGGGATGGCTCAGTGTTTAAAGTGCGAATTTAGTGACCGGAAGGTCCGTGGTTCGAACCCGACCTCGGCCTCTCGATTTCCCCTGTCTAGGCTTGAGCAACCTGGCAGTATCCCAGCCCTCGTGAAACCTTCGGGTGGCATGGCAGTTAGGCACTGAAGGGGTGCTACAGCTGAATGATTTTTTATGAGGTTGTGCGTGTGTCATGGAAACCATGCAGGACATGGCGCGCAGCCGATCCCAGTGGCGCCTACGCTGTCATTTCCTAGCAGGACCATCCAGATAACGTTCGCGTGTAGTTGGGCGCTAGGACTGTCAGGTGAGGCTCGCAAGGAACGCTTAGTCGATCTCACCGATGCCACTTTAATTCGATATGGATTTATTTTAATGCTATCTAAAGGAGTAGGCATATTATTCTTGATCGTTCTCCTTTTGACATAGGGCTTCTTCGCACTAAGTTCTATCCGTCCCTGTTCTTTGCATTCTCTACAAAAGCTTTCTTCCTTCATAGCTGTATGGGAGTTAACTACCAGCATGTATTACTAGCGTACTGTCGCTGATGATGAAAGCAAAGCAGGGCAAGAGGAAAACTAAGGATTCGCTACCGGAAGATTGTAAGCATACACCGTGATAGTCACGAAACTTGAGCAAAAGCTGAAGGGAGAAAATACCTGAAAGATTGGCGCATCCGGATCCTTGTTAATGGCGACAATGACCTTGCTATCCTTCATTCCAGCTAAATGTTGTATTGCCCCACTGATTCCCACAGCAATGTACAACTTGGGTGCGACAATCTTACCAGTCTGCCCGACCTGATGAAAAACAAGCAATATGAGGTTACGAAAATCGTGAGTGTCATTGTCATCATGCTAGCCAATATGCAAGGACATGATCCAGCCCAACTAATTTTCAATTTACCGGAACGCCCACGCGTCAAATGTGCCTTCGGCTGATGTCAGAAAATGATCACAGAAAAGTAAAGACAGTCTCCCAATGGACAGCCTCAAAATATGCAATGGATTTCCTCGAAGTGATTTACTGGGTCAAAAAATATATCCACAGCATACATCCAAATGCACACCAAAGAAACCCAGAACCTAAAAAGAAACGTCTCACAAGAAGCATTTACACTCCATTATGAAATGCTTTTGGATGAGTATTCAAACGATTACACCTTTTGGCCACAATTACCCGTGAGGCTACCATGCTTCCCCAATCGCGGGGAGTAGAAAAAGGATGCATGCTACTAGTGGTGTACAATTAAATTGTCCAAGCATATCCGTCTGAGGAATGGATAATTTAACGAACAAGCTCACTAAGGCCATCTGGCTACAGATTCAGAAAAAACATTACATGAACCCCAAGAGCCTGCTAAATTTCACGGGTGATAATCACAGAAATTCATAAACGAGAGTCCGCTGTCATTAGATGAGTTACCCGTGAAAACCAAATCGGTATGGAAATGAGTGTATTTCACTGAGGTTATTGTTCAGCTTTTAATATGGGGGTTGGTTGGATGAACGGGCTCGGTGTCCGCAATTAGTTGATGGAGGGTAGTTTCATCGATACTGCGCCGAGTCAGACCGCTTGGGAGTTACTTGCACCGACAGGAGACCACCGGATAAACTAGATGTTCGATTATAACCATACAAATAAGACACACTGAGTGAGACAGTTCCTATCAGCTCTCGCGAATCATGACATTCGAGAAGCCTCCCGCTATCTTGAGTGTTAGTGCACTGAACCAAGGGCTTTAAATGTATCGCTTTAGGTCATTAATCGCCTTGCTGTAAATTGAAATGTGAAGAAAAAATGACGAAGAAGTCAATTATCCACATTTCGTTTCATCAGGTTTCTTACTTCGCAAGCCGAAAATCTTACTTCACCCGGTCTCTCAGTGAAGGAGGAGCTGAGGAACAATAAGAAGCCACTTAAGTATCAGTAAAATAAGCTGGAGAACGGATACAGAAGTATTCAATCAATTGGAAAATCTTTGGGACCGATTGAGTAGTCATCGTTTCAGAGAGGTTTGGTAAACAATAAATCCACCGATTATTTACCAAACCTCTCGGAAACGAGGATATAGAAGTAGTTCGAAAACTCATTCCCGTTGGACAGAACGCTAATACAGTGGTGAGAACAAACCTGTCCCCTTCACCATCAGAGCAGCCAGAAGCCACCGATAAACTTCTAAACTCCAATAATCATTGAAAACTGCACAACGAGGCTTGATCACGTCTGTAACTAGGAAACAATTTTTAATAAAGGTGGAAGATACAACACGGTCAGTCCTATTAAAATGTCGTCATTACACAATGGGAGGGCTGAGTAGCAAATCGCCCAAACGAAGCGGATCTCCTAGATTCCTAGACAGTGTAACAAACGAACAAGGTGCAAGGGTGCAACGTAAAACGCGGTAACTCGTAATGCATGCTCGTTTTCTTACCGATATAACGATGGACAGCTTGAGTTATTCAGTACACTGAAACAGACTGCTTCACTAGGGACGTAGATGAAAGACAGTGTGCGGCAGTTCATCTATGTGTCTTTGGAGCCTTTGGCCCTGTAGAGCAAACCCGATTTAGGTGATCTGAAAACTTACACTATCATAAAAAAACAGAGATAAATTGAGAATAAGAAGTCTGTTGGGGACCAGTGAATCTTAACCCCTTGTAGGGGCGAAGGCACCATCGTAACCCAAACAGCAGGAACCACGCGGAACCTAGTCAACTATACGTGAGGATAGACGACGCCCAAATCGGTTATAGTCCCCTTCAATTCATGTTTACATTTCCGTCTTCAACACTGTGACGAGTAAAGTTAAGAGGGAGAAACAATGTTCCTCTCGAACTATCGGCTGGTGCACATGGTACACGTCGTTTAACCGGAGACGCTCGGTCTGATGCTCCAGAGAGAACCGTTGAATAAAGCATCCTGTGGTTGAGCGCTGCACCACAGAAAACGCAATAATGCAACACTGTGAGTAGACCCAAAACGTCAGCTATAAACATAAATCCATTTCAGTAAAAGTGACAGCACAGAGTCGGTATGAACGACTACTATTTAGTGATGCTTCAGAATGAACATTTAATATTTACAAGTCCAGAAGTAAGAGCATTCAATGACTTTTGACAGTAAAAATACTGAAATGCAGTTATGTTGACAAACCTGCATGTCGTTCGGAACGAATCCAGCATCGACCGCAGCTCGAGAGGCGCCAACAGCTGCGTTCAACTTATCCGCAAGCTGGTACAGCAACTGTCGTTTAATCGAGGGATAGAAAGGGGCCCTGGATAATAAGATGGCTGATACAGAAAGGATAGGTCTCGCATGAACGAACAGAAGCATACAACGAATTCAGTCAACACCGAAAAAAGATTACCAGTGTACTGAACGACGTGATCGCTCTAGAAAGTAAACAACAAAAACAATAATCTGACGTAAAACCTAGACAGATGAAAAAATCTAACATAGGGTAATAGCACGGAACACCGGAGAACAGAATGAAGGTTAAAGATTTACGCAGAGGAACAAGACAATGGCGATTTTCATGCAAAAGATTCTTAGTGGTTGAATAATATTAGAGATAACATCCAACAAAAACCAGATGATGCTGAGGTTATCACTGGCGTGAAGTTCCCAGGGAGTTTTGCAATGGAGTTGGGCTATCCGGTGATCGAAACCGTAGCAGTTGGAACCAATGTGCCTATAGTACATGGTTTATAGCTGATAAATTGAATTGAATTGATAAAACGGGCTTAAAGTAACAGCAGGGCAGAATCAGCCGATTTAATCAACTATCGTTGGGACGTGGCTCTCGTATGAAAAATCAGGAATAGTTTTTTGTAAACAACTTTCATTTTATAAGGGAAACTACTCACAAGGTTGCTGAAAACTCTTCGACAGCCCACGACCGGTTTCGCCCTTCTCGGGGCTCAGCAGGTAGGCGCAGTCCCCGAGTTTCCGTCAACCTTATGTTCTACTTGAACTTTCATTTTAGCTTAATTAGTTACGCGGCAAACAGCACACTTACACTCCAAGAGGGATCTGGCCAAAAGCGCTGAGAAGATTCAGCTAGCAGAGCACGAAAACGTAGAACTAGGTAAAACCTGCGGCAGATAATGCCGTTGCATTAGTAACTCACTGATCATCAGAACCTACCAAACTGTTAGTCCTGTAGACTTAATTTAGGATTCTTTCACTGTCGATACTCAAATCAATCAAATCTTATGGTCAAAATACCGAAGGTTTGGGACACGGTTTTGCATTGTTTCCAGAACATTTCCACAGTTATGCAAACCGGAGCCGACAGTGTCACAGTAGAAACGGCCTTCAAACTTAAAGCTCGCCACACATCTCTGTGGGTACCAGTGATGTGCCCCCAATTATAAGTCAACCAACGCGGCAAATAACCCCATTGTAGCTATGTCTGAGTTCAACCTAATATGAATTTGTATGAAACTGAAATAAGGCGCGTGTAGGATTAGGTACATACACAGGTAAGTGGGAGGGAAAGTGTACATGGGCCAAATTGCCACTGGGTTTGTTCGATAAAGCCGCAGTCAGACTAGGTCGTGGAAACAGAATACCTGGGATGCCAACACAGGTTAAAGGATCGTGTTGCGAGAGTCGAGTGGTTCCAAGTCGAGATTAGAAGGAAGACAGAATAGAGGGGCATAATGTACACTTAAATCGTCTAATAACAGTAGTACATGAGCTGAAAATATAGAGTGAGAATCACGAATTAATGGTGTATGAAGTTATGGTTTACATAATCATGACAGGTCGCGCCCATTTGTCTTGGGCAGTGTTATGAGGTCCGATAGCTCTTCCGGAATAGAGTAGCACTCGTGGCCGGTCCAGAGGTAACGCAGTGTAAGACTTGAAAAGTAAGCTTTTTCATTGATCTGACCGGTTTCGTCCACAAAATACGATCGTATTCGAGTTGGGATTTCTCCAGTCATCATTCCTGGGACTTGGACTGTGTTGGCATATTATCCGACTTATTGTATGATGAAACTATGATGCTCGACCAAAGCGTACGAATGAGTATACGCAAAAGCTTGTGTGTGTGTGTGTGTGTGCATTTGCGGGTCTCTCACTCAAATAACACCCTAATGCTGAATTAAATAGCACGTGGATAAAGAATTACCTCGATGGGACGTACACATCCTCCAAACCGCGCTCGTTACATTTACAGTCCTGCCCCTAATTTCCATCTGCAAGAAAAACTGCCAACCTCGACCAACAGATTTAGGCGTAATCACTCGCATACTAAGGTCAATCATACATTGGTCGTAATGCGACAAGGCATTTCCACGATCTAGTCTAACTGTGATGTCATCTGTTCGACTGAGTGATCGACTGTGTGCTCCGTCACCCGATTTACCCATGGATTTACCTAATCATACACCAGATTCATGACTCATATCCCATAAACCTGTTACGCATTAGCTAAGACTGTCAATAGCACACAAAAAAGTACTGTTCACCACCAACGTTCTTATAATGATTTCCATGGGTATCGCTAGCCCCTTCAACCTCACTAAATGACCTTGCGACCAATCGAAACGCCAGTCTGATGCCAGTTATCGTTAAAGTATTCAATATGGGATCTCGAACAAAAAGCGCTGAAATGTACCTCGAAGTTTTCACCACTTTTCATTCCCCGGCCACCGGAAACAACCACACTGGCGTCGGTCAGTTCTGGTCGGTCACTTTTATGCTTCTCTACGCTGACGAATTCGACCAAATCCGACGCCTCCGATCCGAGTGCATCCGCACCAGGTAAGGGGAAGGATTCTATGGGGGCGGTTGCTCCATCGGATAGAGTGGTCGGGGGGAAAGCCGTTCCACGAACAGTCAAACAACGAATCGGATCCTGTGAGAAGAGTACGAAGAAGAGCGGATAGGCTCGAAAGTGTGGTCCTGAATGTAACAAGGACCACTACTTAGGAATGCATCATCGTCGTGGAACAAAAAAAGGTCTACGAAGCTGGATGTCTGAGATCCGAAAGACGTGGTGTGTAACAAAGTTGCAAGGACTGTTAACCAAAGGACTCCCGGAACCAACACTACGGGACTGCAATCAAAACACGTATACATGAACTGTATTGCAGACTATTGGGACAAAGAAAACGGTACGAAAAAACTCTTGGACGAGAATGGCGCTGTGATTTCGTCCGCTGTTGAGCAGGAGTGCGCCATTCTCATCAGTGTATCGAAAAGCCTATCCGCTTAAGGGGGAGTGTGAATTGAAGCAACGAATGAAAGAAAATATAATTAATAATATAACCATTCAGCTGTAGCACCCTTCCGGTGTCTAGCTGGCATCCTACTTGAACGAAGCACATGATACTGCCAGGTTGCCCGAGCTCAGAGAGCAGTCGAGATGTCGGAGTTAGATTCGAATCACAAACCTTCCGGACAGTAAATTCACCCCTTAACCACTGAGCTATCCCGAGCTCATTTGACAACGCACGTGCTAGCTACATAAAATTGGGGTGAGACGCAGGGAATAAGTACGGTTGTAGGCAAATCACCGCTCGTATGTGGCTAGTTGCTGACGATTGTGCTATCTTGACACATTCTAAATCGGAATGGCGGCATCTGTCGACTGCGCTGACAACTTCACCAACCCGTTCTGTAAAACGGCTATCCACTTCAAACACACTGCGCATAAGATGGCCCAGTGGTGAGGGCGCGAACAGCAAAGGCTAGCGTCGCATTTGAAAGACCTTAATAACGTACCTGGAACAACTGTCATCTTCAAGTGAACGAAAAAGTTGCGGTGATATGATGGTGAAACATGGTCGAATCCTCACCTGCAATGTCCGCAGATCATGAACACACCGGTCTGGAAATCCGTTGGATACTTACTTTCCCCCAAAGGAATATATATATATANNTAAACAGGCTTATTGTTGACAATCGTAAGCACATCTAACTGAGACGAGGGGAAGAAATAAGCAGACATTTGGATGAGCGTTCATTCACTAAAGACACTTCCGTAAACAGACACTGCGCGGCAATTGGCTAAAAATTAGACGGGGTGGGAACGTTTCATTACTATTACCAGTTAATTATCACCACATATTGTCACTATTTATTATTATTAGTACCATTACCATTACTAGTAGAGCAGCCTGGCAGACCTTAATCTGCCGTTTATGTCTGTACCCATCCCAAAAATTGGCCGTTCCGAATAGTTTGCAGCGATTATGTAAAGCTGAATAAGTCTTTGTCAAAAATTCGTTAAACAATGCTGATCTGCCCACTCGTCGCTGAAACTCCACCAAACAGATCAATAGCTATACATTTCCAGTACTAGTAAGGAGTCACCAAACCTAAAGCTGCCAGTTTGTCGAGGCGGTTGGGTTCCAGTGTTGCGTACCTTGAGGGGTACGTTGGCTAGAACTCAGTGTCTTAAGGTTCAACCATGCTGGGAATACCGACGGAGAGCAGTCCGATGAAGAATCGCGAGTCCCCCGTTGCGGAAAGTCGTAATATGTACTGGATAGAGAAAAAACTGCAGTGTTCGTAGCGATAGAAATGAGGACAGTATGGTGTTTCCCAGAGACGATAAGTACTTCCTTATTTATGGAAGCATGGATGCGGCCTTTCTCAAGGAACGATTTAGGGAAGCCGGTCCTCAAAACCAAGCAGCTAACTTTGGCCGCCGGAGCACCCAGTGGGGATGAAAAATGAATAAACGACGTTATGAGCCCGATTCTGCCCAGAACAGGGGTCGGGCACCTGCGTCTTACTCCGTGTTCTCGGGTCAGGTGGGTCAGATCATTTAGTCGTTGGCTCCGAATAGTCTAGCCCAAGCCTAGACAGAAGTCGAGAGGTGGAGGTCGGGTTCGAGCCATGGACCTTCCGGTCAGTAAATTCGCGCTCTAACCACTTAGGCCATCTCACCCCTCCAAACTGTTCTCATCGTCATCATAATCACCGACAGCATGACGTCAGTGCTCAACGCCGATGCTTCGCTGCCGTACAACCATGATTTAATTGAAAGCCTTATTGTGAAGAAAAGGATGAAGGTGGACAGGTGAGGGACTTAGTGATAGCTTACTACAATCATCCCGAGGTGCATACACCTCCAGACACCCATTCAGGCAATCTGGATTAAAACTGACAGGATCACCACTACATCGGTTGGCAGCCATATCTTGCAGTGTCCCCAACCAGGTGCAATGACCATCACGCGGTCCCTATCCTAAAAGGCGAGTAGCAGTGACAGCACCCAAACGTTTCGTGACTTCTTTCACACCCCTCTGTCAGGTCTATGGTTGGCCACCTCTCTGCTTCCACTACTCTGAGTTGGGCATGATAAACAGCACTCTCTTCGGCAAAAGATGGCTAGGCATTAGCAACACATATCGTAACCAACGCATCTTCTGGTGCTGGACACATTCTTCAATGGAAGTACCCGTTGCACAACCGAAAACTCGCCTTCTAACTGCCCCGTTACGGATACGCCGACACCAACCCACACGAGCTATGGTGCTGAGACAACGAAAGTCGAACACCTGAAGACATCTCAGTTCGCCTGCCCGAACAGGCCAAGTCTCACAGCCACACAACAAAACAGCCCGCAGTGTAGCTTGATACACACGTCCCTTGAGATTCAGGGATACACCACTTTGTACATGACTTTGGGGGACGAGATGGCCCAAGTGGTTAGAGCGCGAATTTACTGACCGGAAGGTCCACGGCTCGAACCTGACCTCCACCTCTCGACTTCTCCTGTCTAGGCTTGGGTAACCTGGCAGTATCCCAGCCCTCGTGAAACCTTCGGGTGGCATGGCAGTTAGGCACCGAAAGGATGCTACAGCTAAACGATATTTTTACACCACTCTGACGCCATAGGTGTCTCAAATTAGCAGATTAGTGCATTGACCTCATCCGGCACACTGCAGTCAGAACTAATACAACTTCTAAGATAATTAAAACGCTCCAAAACTCCCAGTACCTCTCCCTGGATTGCAAGTGGCATGTTCAGTGATTGGACTTCCAAGAGCATGACCTCACACTTTGTGGGTGCAAAGTGCATACCAAAGCAAGGGATGACTATGGTCAGTTCATCCAAGAACACTTGTGCCTCCTCCTCTTCTTCGAATATGAGAACGATGTCATCAGCATATTCCAGATCGACAGTTTTTGCCACAGGCTATTTGCACACCGAGGTTTTGAACACCCTCGTTCGTATCATGATTTCATTGATCACAAAGTCAAATAGGAATGGGGAGAATGGACATCCCTGACGGACACCACTTTGTGTACGGAAGCTTTTGGAGAGCTCACTGTATACTCTCACAAGCCCGGAAGTCTGGGAAGACAGAGTTTATTATGTTCACGAACTTCCGGGGCATTATTTGATGAGTAAGCGTGTCAAGCAGAACAGACCGGTCAACCGAGTCAAAAGCGCCTTGGGAATCCAGGAATAACTTCTGGTGCTGGACACATTCTTCAATGAGTGTACCCGTTGCACAACCGAAAACTCGCCTTCTAACTGCCCCGTTACGGATACGCCGACACCAACCCACACGAGCTATGGTGCTGAGACAACGAAAGTCGAACACCTGAAGACATCTCAGTTCCGCTGCCCGAACAGGCCAAGTCTCACAGCCACACAACAAAACAGCCCGCAGTGTAGCTTGATACACACGTCCCTTGAGATTCAGGGATACACCACTTTGTACATGACTTTGGGGGACGAGATGGCCCAAGTGGTTAGAGCGCGAATTTACTGACCGGAAGGTCCACGGCTCGAACCTGACCTCCACCTCTCGACTTCTCCTGTCTAGGCTTGGGTAACCTGGCAGTATCCCAGCCCTCGTGAAACCTTCGGGTGGCATGGCAGTTAGGCACCGAAAGGATGCTACAGCTAAACGATATTTTTACACCACTCTGACGCCATAGGTGTCTCAAATTAGCAGATTAGTGCATTGACCTCATCCGGCACACTGCAGTCAGAACTAATACAACTTCTAAGATAATTAAAACGCTCCAAAACTCCCAGTACCTCTCCCTGGATTGCAAGTGGCATGTTCAGTGATTGGACTTCCAAGAGCATGACCTCACACTTTGTGGGTGCAAAGTGCATACCAAAGCAAGGGATGACTATGGTCAGTTCATCCAAGAACACTTGTGCCTCCTCCTCTTCTTCGAATATGAGAACGATGTCATCAGCATATTCCAGATCGACAGTTTTTGCCACAGGCTATTTGCACACCGAGGTTTTGAACACCCTCGTTCGTATCATGATTTCATTGATCACAAAGTCAAATAGGAATGGGGAGAATGGACATCCCTGACGGACACCACTTTGTGGAAGGAAGCTTTTGGAGAGCTCACTGTATACTCTCACAAGCCCGGAAGTCTGGGAAGACAGAGTTTATTATGTTCACGAACTTCCGGGGCATTATTTGATGAGTAAGCGTGTCAAGCAGAACAGACCGGTCAACCGAGTCAAAAGCGCCTTGGGAATCCAGGAATAAAAGAACTGTGGGTCGCTTATGTGTATGGCGTTTTTGAAGATTTGGTCAACGCAACCCCTATCAGGCTGGAATTCCGCTTTCTACTCTCGAGTCAACGTCTAACGAGCTACCGTAAGGCGACGAAGCACAACTGGCGCCAACAGTCTCGTTACGACCGGAGTCAAGCTGACCCCTCTGTGGTTACCACACTCACTACGCGTCCCTTTTTTTAAACGGGTACTATCAACGACTCTCCCCAGTTGTGTGGGACAGACTGCTTTTCCCAAATGCAAGCAAACAGATCAGACAAGCGCTGACTGAGGACTATACCCCTATCTTTGAACAATGCGGGTGGGAGGTCATCCGGACTAGAGGCTCGGTGGTACTTAATAGAACATATGTAATCATAAACCTCCGAGGCCGTAGGCGGTTCAACGTTCACCGTCCAGGGTTTTACGCCACCTGTGGGTTCCAGATGGGTGCCAACTGGTGGTCATGACATTTGTTGTTCGAAATATTCGGCCCAAAGGTCGAGGCACCCTTGTTTATTCGAGATGGTCACTCCCTTCCGATCCCTGATGGCTTCACTCACAGGTGGTTCCGGAGGTCCGGTCGCACCGACCAGCTGAAATAATCTTCGAGTATTACCGGCTTTCTGGGCCTCTCCCATTTCCTTGGCTTTCTCCATACTCTCCCATGTAGGATGCATTGAATTCGGTTGGATAGGCCACTCAATTGATATCGCAATGGCACCGTACAAGTAGCTTTCAGGTGCTAACAATGCTGCAGGGCCTTAGTGACGTTTCATGATCACGATGGTTAATTGTTTTGTAGGGGGATTCTCAACATCCACAAAGCCCCCATCCAAACGGTTCTTCCAGGAATAATTCCGAAAACCGGTCACCAGACTGACCTAACTCTTCATGGTAGTCCGATCTCAGAAACGGAATACAATCACCTTAGAAGTGACTAAAGTGAGGAACTTGCAAGCTACTGCCTCATGGTGGTCGAGTAGGTTGTGTCCCGCCATTATTGAAGACCAGTTGTACTGTCCTGTTTGTAGGTTAAAGACGATATTTAGTCCATCACTAGGGTTCAAAAAAGGCTGCATAAAGGTTATCACTTTTGACCATGGCTGTCTCCGCCAGCTGGCTCCAACCAAGCTGACGAACCGGGTGAATGGTGCAGACTTGTGCCGGGGTAACAGGCCTAACGCATACTCGTTGAAAGAATTACCGAAAATTGCAGTGCAATCTGACTAGAGAGAGTTATCACCGCACTGAACATTGTGAAAAACCCCGTCGAGCTGCAAACAAACGCGCGGTAGTCAGCCAACAACATGGCCTAGGGTCATGAATGCTTTGACTGCATGATCAGTATACTGGTAATACAAGCCAGCATCGTGCAGCTGATTGGAGAACATGTAGAAACATGCCGAATTCACTAGCGAGCTTGCGCCCCTGAAGTGGTCAATCTATCTTCGTGCTTCCTTCGGGTATCACGGTAGCCAGGCACCCGGTTTTAGAGCTCAACAGTTATTAGGATTTCATGTCGGTGACTAGGGGGTGAGGGCTGAGCAACGGAAACCACCGTAAGCGTGTACAATGAAATCTAAGCTGATGACTTGTGATAATAGGGAACCAAGTAAAATACTTACCAAAGATTTCAAGGTGACCACGGCGTTCCCGGCATATATAGGTCTTTGGAATGTGTCTTCACTGAGAATGGCGATAACATCATTGATGGGGGATGTGTTAAGTTTGGCGGCCACGCGCGGCAGGAAGTCACGTCCAAATGTTGAGCTACCAACGACAATATGAGAAGCCCCTAGCTTCGACTGAGCTGAGAGTACGAGTGGGGTGATTTTTTCAGCAACACTATTCTGCCATAAGAAAGAAAACAAGGTAGAAAGTTTGTTCGGAAAGATCCCTTGAATTTCTACCCAGCCGGCTGTTGAAAGCCTAGTGCCTAGAATAGCAAAAACGCTGTGATTCGAAACACTATAGCATGTAAGTAAACCTTGTGCTAACGCAAACGTATGGGTTAAGTGCAAGCGCTGTGTTTACACGAGCTAAATATTGATCAAATAAAATTGTGGCGACCAGTTAATAAGGTCTGCCAATAAAATTGGTGCCGTTCTATTCGGATAAGCACATTTTTGGCAGGCATTGGGCCGAAAGGATAAAAATTGGATCAAGGAGATTCGAGCAAATCTTGAATGCCGTGCTCCAAGAAATGAAGGCCATAGTCCGCCTTATTATTTTATGAATGTGAAAACACGTGTTGGTGATGATCATTTAGGTGTGCTTGGTTGTGATGGGTTCATCCTATCATCGGCTATGCACCGGCTCCCATCTACCGAAGGCCAGCTACGGAAGTGTTCCAATTTTTTTCCACAAACCGATGATTCGACGACCGTAGACTGTGAAGTTTCGATTAAACACAGGCGACTTCCTCACTGTTTGATGGGAGTTGTTTAAATTCTACGGGTAGGCTAAGATTTGTTGACGCATAAAGTGACAGACCTGTTGATCCTCTTACGAGAAATACAAAATGCGGTAGATGACCGCTTCAAAATGGCACCATACGGAAGCTACGGACACAATGAGTGCTCGCATAAATTCAGAACCTGCTCGCCACTATAATACGAAGCTCATTTGCATATAACTGAATGTCTCAAGTGAAGAAAGAAAAAATGGATAGAAAATAGGCCTGGTGCAAACACTTGGAAGTGCCTACATCATCATCATCATGGTTGTTGTACAACCATGAAAGTGCCTACACTCCCAAGCGCTCAATCAAACAACATGGAGTGCACTGGCAGCAGTAACGCCACTGGGACCCTAATTTGG